GCTCCATAACGTTGAAAGTTTTTCGCTTCTCAGGATAATCAATCACAACAGATACATTCCAAAATACCGAGCTCTCCAGCCGATTGTTGAGCTTTCCGGCGCTTTGTCATTGTCCGCTTAGAGGACACCTGAATAAAATGGGGCTGCACAACGGAGACCTCAGCTGCAGATTATGCAACGAAGGGATAGAAACAGCTCTACACATCTTATGTGAATGTGAGGCACTGAATAACAGGAGGCAGGCAATATAATGACGGACGAAATTATGTCCAGAAGAATATGACGAACATTCAACACGAAACCTGTACAAACTAGTACAGGGAACGAGACTGATGGAATGGGTGTCATTAGAAGAAGGGAGAAACAACGCAATAAGCCCAAGAGACTGCAGTGTTTTCGGAGACTTGGACTGAATGGACAAGTCAGACAGCTCCCAAGGTAACAAAAAAAAGACAATAGAAGTCTGAACTAATGAAATAAATGATTTTCGTAGAAGCAAAAATCAAAAGCAAAAAACTGGTTCTCCAAATTCCCCCGGAAAATTTCAGGTTATGGGGAAAAACGATACATACCAATGGTGGAGATCTATAACTGAGCCAGTTATTTCTTTTTCCTATATAACTATGTTCATGCTGTAATTTTTTTTCCTCTTCAAAAATAGTTTGCATTGTACATACCTAATACCCTCAACAAAATGGAAATTCCGGAAAATTTCGTGAAAAAGCTTCAGCTTTGCATTAATTCGTAAAGAAAATACCCGATTAATTCGTTCGCCTGCCCACAGAATCGAGATACCTGCTGTTCGTGAGGATTTCTCTCTCTCTAATAGCGATTTACTGCCAAATCCAATAATCCTTCACCTTTCCCTCGAAATGAATCAAAACGTCGTGAGCGAATTATGTCAAAACTAAATTTTCCCAACGTCTTAATTACATAATCTTTGTGACGTTTCGTTTCTCGATTTCGATCGTATCTCGTTTTATTCCTCGCGAAGTGAGCTTTGCTCGGAATTATGTGGATTTCGCCGGCAAAAATGAGAAATAAATATTTATCTCGGTTATTTATGGCTCCGAGTGTAATGCATGTTGGTGTGCGCTTATCAAGATTCAGTTCATTTGAGCAATTTATTTTGAATAATTGCTGCTTCACCGTGTAACCGTTGGTGACTTTGCGGTGATATTTCGGTAAACACGGCAATCAAGTATCACCTCGTGACGCCGACCGACAGGGACGTATCTAAAGAATTTTAGGTAACAAGTCTAAGTTATCTGATCATTTATCTGTTGCCAAGAAAAGAATACCAGAATCACGACTGCCACTAGTGGACCCCGAAACCCCCGAAACCCCGAAACAGCAGAACATATAGAGTGGTCCAACGAAAAGTATGCACCTTGCTTTTCTCCTTTTTTTGTGAATTAACGCAAGTTTACTCGGACAGGTCAATTTTGCTTTTGAGGGAGACACATTTTAGATGTATTTTTCTACCTGTGCCTTCAACCCCCTAGCGAGGGTGAGTAACAACCCTAAAATTTTAAATGGAAAGTGGGGTCGAGTGATATATCATTTGAAAGGGCACAAAATT